TCCTTATGACCATCCTTTTCATACCAACCGCTTTCCGGTGGATTTAAGGCCAATAAAATTAAAGGTTTAATTGATAATCTCTCTGGAGCTATTTCAAATGCACAGAATTTTCAAAGTTGTCTGCCAAACGTTGATAAAGAAGCTCCTCGCTTAACGAATAACAACATTTTAATTTTAATAAATTAATTTTAATAAATTAATTTAATTTTAATAAAATTCTCGAACTTACCTTATTATTAGCTAAAAGCAACCGAGATGATAATAGGTGAAGGTGAGTTTGATTCAGTTAACAAAGGATTTCTTATTCAACCAGAGAAATACAGAAATCGCAATTAAAACATTACGTGACGATCACTACCCCTTGAATAGCCGGGAGTTCTTACGAGAGGCATCCGTTATGATACACTTAAAACACAACAACACTGCATTGTCCAATTGATTGGTATTTCAAGAGAGGAAACCCTTATGATGGTGCAGGAGTGCTTTTAGGCTCGATGCATGGCAGCCGACTTGGCCACTAAATCAGTACCATATACCATAAAATTCTTCGCACGATTTTCCGCACCACCTTTGAGGTACCGTGATAGGCGCGTTGCCAATTGTTTTGAATGGGTGGCTTTCCTGTAGACCTACACCATTACATAAATAATTTAAAAATATAATATAATAATACAATAATAATAAAATAATATATATATATAATATAAATGCTTATAATATACGCATACATAAGATAAGATAAATAAATGAATATGTGGCGGTGTGCTGCTTGATAGTGGGTTGAGCGGTGTGTCGATATATGCAAAGGTAAATTAACGTAATTACTAAATTTTATATATAAAGATGATCACAAACTTACCATTTGGCCTACGGACATATCGCATTCCGCTGAAGCGACATTGCAGTCGTTTTTTTTTAATCTAAAATCAAATAAAAGCAAATGAATAATTTATACATAATAATAAGAAAGGATAAATGCAAACTTACCTTTGGCATGCAGCGAAACTTCATTTATATGAGTCGATGAGCGGGCAATTGGATTTAATTTTTTTTTTTTTTTTTTTATCTAAAATAGAAGAAATAAATAAGTAATATATAAATATAAATATATAATTATGTATTTACCTTCATTTTATCGAATTAATATACGATTCTCTTTGTTGGCATTGATAGCGGACCTCTTCTACTCTGAAATAGAAAACAAAAAGTAAGTAATTTTTAAGTTAATTTTATAAAAAAATTTAATTACTTTTACTTTGCTTAGTTTTCTGCCTGATTTTCCGCTTTAGGGCATCCAATTCGGCTTTAAGGCGCCCATTCTCCTCCTCCAGCGCTGCCTCCGCTGATGTCGATGGTCCTTCGTCGTCCATATCATTATCATATATATCATTATCAGAATAACGCACGTGTACAATAAATATACGTTGTTTGGCAAATTTGTACAGAGGCTAGAAATTGCTAATTTATTTCAAAAGAATTGTAAACTCCTAAGCAAAGTCGTGCAAATGTGTAACAAACATACCTTGTCGCCTTCTACGCTCCAAGACCTTTCATTTGATACCCATATCGCTGGTATTGTTGCTAAAAGAATTTGTTAATCTGTTGGTGGTGTTCACTATACTTATTTTATTCACTCACTCACTCATTCAGACATTCACTCATTTGTTCATTCATTTATTTATTCGCCCATTCATTCTGTTAAATTGAAAAAGGGAAAGGAAGACGCCAACGGGATTCGCAGGGAAACTATATGAATCTCAGATGGGTCTCCTCGGAAAAAAATTAAATATATGAAATAGTTAATAATAAGTAAATGCACTTGATGAACTGTTGAAACTAGAACTTAACTTTGTTAAAGTTAAGGAAGATTTTAAAACCCTAAATGTTGTTAAAGTAAAGAAAGATTTTAATATCACAAATATGATATGATAAGTATTTTAAAATTTTTGGGCTCTTTTTATTAGACACTCCTCTTATTTTTCATATAATTCTCGTAAATTCTCTAAAAAACTTTAATTTATTAAACACAACACTTATCAAATCTTAATAAACATATTATTTTTTAAAGTGTTTTAACACATTAAACTTTTTTTATAATTTTTTGTAATTTTTAATTCCTTTTTTTTAAATTTTTTCTCGCAATTTTTCACTTTGTCAAACTTCTATTTACACTTGTGAAATGGTTTTGATTTTTTGCTAAAAGCCGTTAGCTGGCTTTTTCCTTTGCTTTTGGTCTATAAAAAAAAAAACTGTATTGTCAATAGAGGGACGGAAGAGAGTTGGTTTCAGTAAGTGGTGGAAAAACACCTAAACAATTCCGTTAATTGAGAATAAGTAGTGGAAAAATACGTAAACAATTCTGCTAAATAAGAATTTGCTACGTCTTTTAAGCGGAATAAGAGCATATGTATATTCGAAAAAATAGATAATATGCGTATACGAAATTTAGATACTCTTTTTAGCGGTATCTATAGGCGTCTATGCTGCGACATTTGCGATATTTTATTTTGTGTATTTTCTATCGACACGAAGTGATGGTTTCCTTTATTCGCTACCATTATTTCTCTTTTCCAGTAAAATATAGTATGCCGACATTAGCAAGTTTATACATACAAGTAACGGACAAAGAGAAACCCATAAGGCAGCCGAAAATCTCTTATGAAACCCTGCCGATAAGCTATAAATGAAAGAAAAAATCTCCATTTTGGAAATTTAGATCTAAAAAAATTTTGACAAAGATAACAATATTAAGCAAGATTTAGTGCTTTTTCAACCATTTTCCACACATAACCACTATCTCTGGCAAGGGAAATATGATATATATGTCGTATAGTATAACTGCAGAAATTTCAGACTGATTATGCCTTTCAAGGAGTGACCAAGCCATAACAAAATCATTAAATAAACAATATTGCAAAATGCAGCAAAAATATTCACGACCTCTTTGAAAATGTAAACAAAAAGCTCGTGCAACGTCTAATATAAATAAAAATTGAACCAATCCAAACGACGCATCAACAAATATAAGCAAACGTTGAGCCAACTAAAATAAACCCTCGAATCGGTAAAAAATGAAACGTTTAACAGCTAAACGCTACTTTGCCTTAAAAAACTAGTATTTTTAAAAAGTAAAAAGTAAGGCCACATAATTTTGGTGTTGCAAAACTAGTACCGTGTGTACTTGTTGCTGAAAAATAGTATCATATGGGAATAGCACTGTGTATATTTTGTTGTTGTAAAAGTAGTAGTAATAGAAATTTTGCAGTTTCCACTACTTAGTTTATACAAAATATGCAACTCTAACCAAACATATGTGTTTGACAATTGTTACTATTTTTTGCATTTGTGCCACAGAATTTTTCTTTTCTCAGTCCCAAAAACGAGCGCAAGAAGAGTTGAGCGTAAAAATTTTGAAAAAGTGGATGTATTTTTTTTTTTTATTGATAGCGAAAGGAAATTTCTTCGTTACGAAGCTGTGAAAGAGAGGGCAAACGAAAACAAACATTTTCACATTGACCGGAAATAAAGTTTTATAATTGTGAAGAAAATCCTCAAAAATCAAATAAATATTGCATTAAATTTTCCTCTTAGTGACGAATAATGGCGAATTTAATGCGTGCGACATCGATTTTATCTATAAACGCGGGTGCAATGGTAAGTGATTTCAGTGTGTGTGTGTGTGTGTGTGTGTCTGTTTGTGATATATAAGTGTAGAATTACTATCTGTAATGTTTGTAATTCTCCACGAATTAGTTATGGATCATCGTAAAGACACTCGCC